GATGAAATTAAGTATTGCAATCAGTGACGTAGCAAGATCCTAATGGGACCTCCCTTTCACCGAGAAAAAAAACCCTTAACGATTTCTAATGTGTAATAAAAATAATAAATATTGTTTTCTAGGGTTGTGACTCAGGAGGAATAAAATACAAAACTAAATCCTCATATTCGATGTAATGAACGAGAGAGGGTAAAATAGAATTATCTAAAACAATTTATTTAATTATATAATAATTGCAAAATGCACTACTAGTTCTTTAATATCAGTTTTAGATGGGGTATTACGTACTATTGTTATCAAGTCACGATTTTTTATCATTTTTAATTTGTTGAGAGATTTTTCAACGGAAGTTGTTATTACCGGTAAACTCAGTAATACAAAAGTGAATGTGTAAACATCAAAATAATGTCTCGTTTGTAGAACATCAGTTTGTATTATGAGGAGACTCACTTTATCTAAATATAAAAGAATTTTCTTAGTTTTGTCTGAGCCCCAGAATTTCGCGATCTTCAGCTTATCAACTGTTACGCCACTGATTAAAATGGAGCTATTTGAACGAAATTATAATGATTTATCTCATGGCTCTATTCACAAAATCTTATAATTCCCTGAGATTTATCCAGAATTAATGAGATCTCATTTGGGTGGATATTTTTTTGACATACTTCAACTACTGACCGGTGGAAGTAAGAATAAAGTTTCTTACTTTCGACATGCCCTAACTAATTTACTTGATAAAAATATGAATGAATGAATGCTACATTATATTTATATTATTGTATACCACACAATTTTTAGTGAATGAATCTTTTTGTAATGACAGAGATGATGCATAGGTATGTAGAAATTTTTTACAACCATCATACCAAAGTTTATACATAATACATACAAATTTTATATTCTATCATGCACAAAATTAAATGACTTGTTCTTTTTAAACAAAGACAAACAAAAAAAAAACAAAACAAAATAGTGCCTATTGATCTCAACACTCAATTTTGTGAGATAATACAGAAAAAGTACAAATAATATAATTCCCAAACTAACATACTAACACTCCAAACAATTTTGGTCAAAAAGTCATTATAGGTTGTACGATTAGGGTTAAGTGTTAATTTAAACATTTACGTATTTATTAGTTAATTTATGTTAGATAAGTAAAGAGGAGAGAATTCAAGTAACACCGAATTTTTAAATTATTATTTAACTGCCATAAACTATTTAATTATTAATAATAATTTATTGACATAGAGACTAACAAACGATTACTTTCCATATTCGACACCGCGCAGTCAAGAACAACTTCAATATGATTCATCATCATCTTTTCGGAAGAATTCCACAACCATCCAGCCGAAAACTTTATCAAAACAACTTGATTCTTTCAACTACGCCAATCAGTCGAATTTTCATTACGACCATCCTCCTTCCCCAACTATACACGAATGTTTACCGAACAAAGTTAATTTTCAACCCCAGCTGGCCTCCATTCCCAGTGACAGCGATGCTTCATCAGGAATCTGTAAGGATGAGTTGAATACAAACGAAAAAAACTACACCGATCGCATTCTAACTAAAAGCAACATCACACCCAAATTATCAACTCCGTGCAAAAGTATTCCGTCAAACTACAAGACAGAAATGAGCAATGACGAGAAAACAGTTAAAAGCGAATTTAAGTTTTCCGAAATTAGCTTAAGTTCTGAAACAGAATCATGCTATTCAACGCCTGAGAAATCAGTTGAATATTCACCGAGAAAATTAACAGATATTTACAATTCTCCTGATGTGTTAAAAACTGGACAGGCTGAAGTAATACCAGAATGTAATTGTTTTCCTTCCAATATGGGGCCTCCTGAACCAGGATCTTTCTACACTCATCTAGGTATTGGTTTAATAGTAATTATATTTTGCGATTTCCAATGTATCTGGTTATAAGTTTAATAAAGATAAAAAAGTAGCAAAAAACGTATAAAGGAAGAAAGCAGAAATTTGTTCTTATTAAAAGACTAAAAGTTTGCGAGACACATTGGAATTTTGTCAGTGGTTTAAAAGATTAAATGTTGTATTGACTTTTAAATCTGGGTTTATTTTTTTAGGATCATCTCACAGCCTTAGCGGATTAAGAAAACATCTAGAAGAACGAACCGGTTTGGTCGGTTCTTCGATCAGAATTGAGAAAGTGTGTTATAGTGGGAAAGAAGGCAAAACACCCCAGGGTTGTCCGATAGCGAAATGGGTACTGTCTTTTTTCGTTATGTGTTATGTGGGAGTTTTGTAAAAATGAAATTTTCCTTCCAAAAAAAAAAAAAATATTGTATTTCTAGATAATAAGAAGATCTGGTCTTGAAGAGAAGTACTTGGTCATTGTAAAACATCGACAAGGCCACTTTTGCTCTTCGGCCTTTATAGTTGTGTGTATCGTAGTTTGGGAAGGTTTGGATAGTAACGACGCCGATGACATGTACTCGACGCTCTGTCACAAACTGAATAAGTTTGGTACCCCGACAGCTCGCCGTTGTGGCACGAACGATACCAGAACCTGCGCTTGTCAAGGTTTGGATCCTGACCTATGCGGTGCGAGTTTTTCATTCGGTTGTTCTTGGAGCATGTATTACAACGGCTGCAAATACGCTCGTTCAAAACTTATCAGAAAATTCAAGTTAACCGAGCAAACTGAAGAAAAAGAACTGGAAGAAAAGTTTCAAGCCCTTGCAAATCATATATCTCCCATGTATAAAAATCTCGCACCGAAATCGTTCGATAATCAGTGTCAGTATGAAGAAACAGCTTCCGAGTGTAGATTGGGACTGAATCCTGGGAGACCTTTTTCTGGTGTGACCGCGTGTTTGGATTTTTGCGCACACGCCCATAAAGACTCCCATAACATGAACAATGGCTGCACCGTGGTTGTTAGTTTGACAAAACACCGCGATCTCAATAAAGCTGAAGACGAACAACTCCACGTGCTTCCTCTATATACCATTGACAAGACTGATGAATTAGGTTCCGAAGACAAACAACGTGAGAAGATGAATAATGGCAGTATCGAAGTCCTTAACAAGTAATTCGGTGTAATAAATTCGTTGTTTTCATTCAATTAATCAAACTCTTGTTTTAGATACCAGTGTGAGGTGCGTTTAAGGAATGAACCTCAGCAACCATGTCGAAGAAGAAAAAGAAAAGATGATGGAAACGAGAAAAGCAAAGCAGAAAGTCCCAAGAAGAATGGCGTTTCTGTAAAGGACCAAAACACATCTCCATCATCTGCCTACCACCACCCGCATCATCAACAAACTTTCCTCAACAATAAGCACGAACTTCAAAGCGATCAAGTTACAAGTACAGTATTTGATGCATCCAGTAGAAAACACGGTAAAAATAGTAAGTTAATAAGTAACAGTAGAAAAGGACCTCAGTNCAAAATAATCCAGTGGTTTTACTGTATAACTTGCAAAAGTATTAAACTATTTTAATTCATTTTAATCTCTTATTGTATTGACTGCATGATTTAAGGCTAGAACAAAACCAATGATGATTAGCTAGTGCTTTGTTTTTTGAACGATAAGGAAATATGAAATGAAATAAAAATAAAGTGGGTATGGACATTAAAAATGGACAATGTGGGCTTGAATGATATTACGATTTTGCATAGCCGAGGTGAAATGTAGTTTTTATGGCCGAAGTTGTCAAGCTTATTTGCAGTTTCAATCAAACGAATCAATATAAAAATCCTATGCTTGTGTGAACTATTGAACTGACTATCAACGTAGTGAAAAAAAGAAAAGCACCCAAAACAGTTTTAGAAGATTCGAATAGCATTTAGTAAATCATACAAGGATATAGCGACGATTTTATTTATGGGATAAGCAGATAAGAAGCAAAAGGTAGCATTAAATCGTTTGATGTTAAATTAATATTAAGACAGAAAATAAGAAACATTTTAGAATTAGAATTTTCTGAAATTCTCAAAAAAAAAAGTGCAAGGGTTTTAACTAAATGAAGAAAATAAGGTCGTATGGACTTAAAAACAGAGGCGCGAATAGGTGCCAGATATTTAGAACAATTAGCTTAACTTCCCATGTGTCAAAAACCTTAACTGGAATTGTACAGAGAAGGATAGAAAAATGGCGGAAGAACTACTAGGAAAAGATCAATGTGGGTTTAGAAGAAATAGAAGTACGCGGGAGGCCATTTTAGCTTTAGGGATAACAATAGAGAACGATAAAAAAAGAAAAGATTGCATACATAGGATTCGTAGATTTAGAAAAAGCTTTTGACAATGTTAAATGGGACAAGATGTTAAATATACTTAAAAATGTAGGGATGCGTTACGGATAGAAGAGTGATACTTGGTTTGTATAAAGAGCAAAAGACAGTTATAGAGCTTAGGCAGCAACGTAGAGTAGTGAATATTAGGAAATGGAGTCAGTAAAGGATACACAGCCACCGCTACTTTTTAATCTATACATCGAAGGCACAATCAACATCCTTAAAAACAGTACAACTGTAGGGATAGATATATAAGGGCAAAAGATTAATATGCTTAGATTTGCAGGTGATATAATAGGATTGCATTTACTAAGGAGCTTTAGATAAAATGAAGGCGGTATTAACAAGACAGTACTCTATAAAAATAAATAAAAGTAAAACAAACATACTGGTATGCAAGGGAAGAATAAGTAGGGCAAATGTAAAGATAGATGAAAAATTAGAAGTGGCTGATTTTTGGTATTTAGGAAGTAATATAAAGCAGGACAGAAGGAGTAGTAGGGATATAAAGCAGAGGATAGCAAAGGGTCGAGTCGCCTTCAATAAAAAGAAGTCACTTCTATGCCCGCGAACGGTTAATTTAGAAATTCGAAAAATGTTGTTAAAGGTGTAGATATGTTTGGAGCGCGGCGCTGTAAGGGTGCGAAACATGGACGGTGGATGTTACGAAAGAAAAGGTTAGAAGCGTTCGAAATGTGGTGTTACAGGCGAATGATGAGGATACCGTGGATAGAGAGGGTTAGAAATGAAAAGGCATTAGAAAGAATAGGTGAACAGAGGACTCTATGGAAGTCAATAAGAAATAGGTGAGATTGGATGGTAGAGCACCTTCTCAGGCATAGTCAGAGACATATTAGAAGCAGAAACAGAAGTTAAGAGGAGTAGATCTAGAACTAGATTGAATTAAATTAAACTGTTCGTAAATAGTTAAAGATGTGGGATGTTCTAGTTTTAGGGAAATGCGAAAATTAACTCAAGATAGGAAAGAGTGGAGGTATCTGTCTAACCAGTCTTAGGACTGACAATCTTACGACGATGCTGGACAAAATATATTTAATTTGAAAAATTTATCTTCAAACTCGGTTGATATCTTTACCGAGAAGGTTATAAGTAAGTTTGCATTTATAAGGAATCGTAGAATTCAAATAACATCTCGAGCCGCTACTGGCTGAAAAAATTTTACGTACTTATACTAAGACTAAATCTAAAATTTTTAGAAATTAGAAGAGCGATAAAGAACATAAAATAAAATATCCACAGCCAAATTTCATCTCATTTACTTCCTTTCTACTAGTAAATAATCAGTATTACATAATAAGAAAATCCCTGATAATTTTGTTGCAGTTGATAAAATTGTAATGCCCCTACATGATTTAAGAAAGAAAAAATCTTAGGCATTAATATCAATCAAGACATTTAAAATTTAATTCACAAATTTTTTATAATTTCTGATTTGNTGCCCCTACATGATTTAAGAAAGAAAAAATCTTAGGCATTAATATCAATCAAGACATTTAAAATTTAATTCACAAATTTTTTATAATTTCTGATTTGAGCTTTTTTTAGTTATGAATAACTAAAAATACATACAATTATTAACAATCGAAAGCTTAATGATAGTATTAAATCATTTTATAGCGTATATAACCGTATCTTGTCGGTAAAATCCAAATATTTCAAAATTACAACGGAGACAACAACGATGGGTTAGAAGCGAAACCCCAAAACATAGTAACTACTCTGAATGAAGAAACGAGCATGTTTTAAAAATAGACCTACATTACCTTCATTTCATATTTAATATCTTATTGTATTAACTATATGGCTTAAAGCCAGAAGATGTTTATACCATAATAACTTGATAATTAGTCAATTTTGATCGGCACAAAGTATAGTGTAAAACAACAAAAGCATTATATTCTATAAACATATTGTTTATATTTCAAATGTTCTTAAACTTTCATATCTTTTATAACAATACACGATATTTTAATTTTATAATTTCTGATTTGGGTGTTTTTTTAGTTTTAAATGACTAAAAATACATACAATTATTGATTGAATGATGTTACTAAATCATTAGTAGCTTACANCAAAAGCATTATATTCTATAAACATATTGTTTATATTTCAAATGTTCTTAAACTTTCATATCTTTTATAACAATACACGATATTTTAATTTTATAATTTCTGATTTGGGTGTTTTTTTAGTTTTAAATGACTAAAAATACATACAATTATTGATTGAATGATGTTACTAAATCATTAGTAGCTTACATAGCCGTATCTTGTTGATGAAACTCAAACATTTCAAAATTACAAGGGAGACATCAACGATGGGTTAGACGCGGAACCTCATACTAACTATTACGAATAAAGAAACGAGCGTGTTTTAAAAATAGACCAATAGTTTTACTGTATAACATGCGAAGGTATTAAACTATTTCAATTCGTTTTTAATTTTTTGTTGGATTCACTCAATGGTTTAACAGTAAAACAATAACTCGTCAATAAGTCAATTTTGATACGGACAATGTAAAGTGATAAACGTAAAACAATAAAAAGATTACAACCTACAGAGATACTGTTTGTCATTCAAATAGTCTCAAATGTTTATATATTTTTGACAAAACGCAAAATTAAAAATTTCGTTAATACTGATTTGAGTGTTTTTTAGTTATAGTGATAACTAAAACTAGATATAATTATTGATCATCTCAAGTATAATGATAATATTAAATTCTTTTACAGCATATATCGCCGTATCTTGTGTATATGATCCAAATATATCAAATTTACAATGGAGACATCAACGATGGGTCAGACGCGAAACCTCATACTAATTATTCAGAATAAAGAAACGAGTGTGTTTTCAAAATAATCCAGTGGTTTTACTGTATAACTTGCAAAAGTATTAAACTATTTTAATTCATTTTAATCTCTTATTGTATTGACTGCATGATTTAAGGCTAGAACAAAACCAATGATGCTCGCGCCATAATAATTCGATAATAAGTCAATTTTGAAGTTTTATAGCTACTAAATAAAGTGATAAATGTTATAAAACATTACATCCTATAATGATATTGGCTATTTTTCATGTTTCCTTAAATGTTTATATTTTTTTAACAATACACGAAATTTTGATTTTATAATTTTGTGATTTGGGTATTGTTTTTAGTTATAAATGACTAAAAACACACACAATTATTGATAAGATAAGCTAAAATTGCAACGGAGACATCAACGATGCGTTAGACGTGAAACCTCATATTAATTATTCCCAATAAGAAACGAACGTTTTTCAAAACAAACCCATGGTTTTACTGTATAACTTGCGAAGGTAATAAACTATTTCAATTCATATTTAATCTCTTATTGTATTAACTGCATGGTTTAAGGCTAGAACAAAACTGATGACGTTCGTGTCATAATAACTCGCGTTTTGTAATTTGAAACTAGAATTAAGTACCCATTTGCCTTTAAGAAACATAGTGTCAGAAGTATAATAAACACACCCATATAACAGGTAGTTGTTAATGTACCTACAGTAGTGGAAAATCCATATGAGTAAGCTACGTAATTCATGACTGGGAATTTTCTTGCGTGTTTTCAACAATATAATTAAGTAAAGCAATATAATTTCAATGGAAGAAAATACCAAATAGAAGAATTTATAACCTAAAAATTCAAAATACATTCTCAGTTAAATTGATAGCAAATTTTAATGTTTCAAAATTTTTCAAATGCTACTTATCTAAATCTAAATTTTGTTTGACATGGTAGATGTCTTCCAATAGTTATGCATAAATAAAATTGGCTTTAAAAAACTATTAAACCTTTCAGAAAAATGCTTCCTCAAAAAACTTATTTTCACTTTCACAGTGGTGGACAGTTTTACCATTTCACCGATGAACCAAGATTATATCTACATAAAATCAGGATTATTAGCAGAGTTTTAGGGTGACTTTCCAGTTTTAACAAAGGGTTAGTCGCCGTCAGCAACTATAGCTGGATGAACGCTAGAAATGGTCTCAATCGATGGTTCATGACGTGAAGTTAGAAAAGATAATTTTTCTATAACAATACATGTGCTTAACCATCTGGATGACGGTAATCTTACCAATAGTTTTTAACCAAACTTTTAAAGTAGATTCTTATTAATGCAAAGTCAGTTTTGGCTAAAGGGATTTACGTCCTAA